CCAGTGAGCGTGCAGAACCTGATTTTAATCTGTGTTGTATAATGAACTGACCCCTGTACTCTCCCTCTTGTAATAGTAGGTGACCAGTTAGCTCTGGTACGACTGGGTGAAAAAATACTGCGACAGAAATAAGAGATAACTGCTAACAAGTGATGGGTGGAGGTTCCTCTGTGTTGTCATCGCCTTTTTGTTAATTTTCTGTAGAGTGATTTTGCAGGAGGGTACTTGTTACCTAGGGAGCGGCTTAAGACCAAGATGTACCTGCGATGTGTGTGTTAGGGGAGTATATAAAAGAAGATTACTTTCTTGATTTGAGAGGTCTTCCAGATCATTTCTCATAATAAATAAGCAGACATAACTTGCAACTTTTATTAGACTATTGAAAGCCTTGACTGCTTGAGGTGAGAAAAATAAAGGGAACGTGAAAAAGGCTGAATGCAGTGATCATGCAGCTATCAGTTATATGGAATAACAGCATTTCAAAGCAGGTTTTTCTTCTTTATGCTGGCTTGCATTTTGTAACGGTCCATTTCACAATGGCTCTTAAGGGCAGCGTGAATGTGTTTAACTCTGCCAGACTTTGCAGTTTTATTAGACACAATTAAATATCGTACAGCGGGGCAGGGCATGTTGCTGGAAGGAGCAGTGCTTTCTGCCTGCATTCACAGTTTAGACAGAAAAGAAAAAGAAGCGAGGATGTGGTGTTTGAAATGGCTTTTATGTGGCTGATGCAAAAATCCTCTTTGTGTGTGTATAAAGCTAATTCTGACTACTTAGACCTGAAGGTTCATTCTTGACAAGGAAAACAGGATAAAACATTTTCCTTCATATATGAAAGTCATCAGCAGACTTAAAACGCCCATGTTCTGAATACCTCATGTGCTTAGAGAGTCCTTCAAAGTAGGTGGGAATGTAGGATATAAGACAAAAACAGGGTTTGTACAATTCTAACATGTTAATATGGTATGATCAACTTCATTCTTCAACACAGCCTGAACTCTCTTATCCTTTTTGTATTTTCTTTAAGTAGTCTTCAGGAATAGTTCTTCAAGCTTCTTGAAGGACATTCAAAACTCTTTTTTGGATTTTTGGATCTTCTCTGGCTGCTTTTTCTTTTGTTCTATAACAAGATTATCCCACACTGCTTCAATAATGCTATGGTTCACACCTTGCAGAGCTCAATCCACGACTGACAGTGTACCATTGTGTGTTTTTCTATCCTTGTATGCTTTTACGGTTTAGGAACATTGTCATGCTGAAACGTAAGCTGTTGCCAATGAGACTCTTTCCAGATGGTTTGTATGGTGGTTCAAAATCTGCCAGTACTTTCTGTTTCATAAGTTGATCAATTTTGGTAATATTCCCAATAGTACTGGTTAAAATGCAGCCCAAAACCATGGTAGAGTCTGCACCATGCACCATGTTTTACAGATGGCTGCAGACACTCACTGTTGTGTCTTTCTCTTGACCTGCTTCGTACCTATTGATGAAGGTTTGAACCATAAATTTCCCAATTGGAGTCCCTCCACCATCAGACCTGTTCCCACTGATTTTCAGTCCAGTTCTTGTTTAATTTGGCATACCTCAGCATTTTCTCCATGTTTCCCTTCTTTAAGAATGGCTCCTTGACAGCCATGCTTCCACTGAGACTGTCTTTACTGTCTTTTCATCTGTTTCTTAAGGACATGACTTTCAGATACTGTTTATCTTCTTTAAATTGTTTTGTTAGGTCTGCCCCCTTTTCCCCATAGATTCGATTAAAGAAATGTGAGCAAATTGTGTGTTTTTGCGACAGGCTACTAGTAACAAAGTCCTCAAAGATACAATTTAAAACTGAGAAATGCACAGCTTTAGTAACACTCCATCTTTTCTGTACAGTTTCTTTCTTAAATATCAACTGTGCTGGATAAACAGTGAAAGAATGACTGTATCTGCATTACAGTGTGCAACAGCACGCTGAGACAGAAAAATCTGTAATACGACACCTCAGATGCTGGCAAACCTCTGCATGAGACTCAGACAGGTTTGCAAGTCAAAATGAGAAGAGAGGTTTACTGGGTGTGAATGCATACCGCTTCGTCATTACTTTCAGAGAATAGTGGCCATTTCCCACACAATGCCAGCTGATGATGCGGGCATCGCTGAATAGCTAAAGACATTAAATTGTCAGGGATTTCTGTCAAAAGGCATCCCACGAGAGGAAGGGATGACATAGACAGATACAAGTAATAATTCACAGGGAGACTAGAGTTATTAGGTGGGACTGGTAAGCACGACTGTGTATCTGAATCCTCAAGTGAGTTTATGTGAGGAATGATGAAAACTGGCGAGCAGCAAAGCAAACAGGACTGAATATTCATGGCTCATATGGATGATCCTCACAAACTTTCACACATCTCCCACCCTTTCCCCTGTCTTTTCAGGTCTTCACAGTTGACTGATGAGCAGCCAGTAGGACTGGGCTTGGGCTACACCGACTGGCATAGGTAAACACAACTTTCTCAACCCACCGGAGATGTTGAAATGTGTTTTTTTTCTTGCATGCTGACATGATTTTGTCGGTTCGCTGGGAGACCTGCCAGCCAGAACTGTGTTGGTCCGGAAATCTTTACTTTTAAAGATTTACTTTTGAATAAGTAAGGAAGCAGCTGGTTTTCTTTTAAGTGTGTGTGTTTGTGCTTGTGTACCCGTGTGGATTTCACTTTTGACAGCACTTCCTCTGTACTTGAAAGGGCCATGCTGATGTTAAACTAAAAGCGTGGGATTAAAGCATCAGTTTTATATAACCAAACTCTGTATATATTTATTTAGCGTCCCCAAATCTTACCTGACTGTGACTGGCAGAAAGTACAGCTTTTGCATTACTGGCTATTATTAGATGTCATTGTATTTTCGATAGAATACGCAAAAGCTTCTCTCTCTCTCTTCGCCTTTTAAAGTACCAGCATGCATTCTTTTATATATACACAAATTTTCTCATTTCTGAATAATAGAACAATTGCTTTAATAATTTATAGCACAGTCTTGCTTTGCTCATTACAGATCTGGCGCTTGTGGATCAGTTGTTTGTTTTTTAAGTCTGTGCAGACTTCCCAGGGTGCTTTCTTATGGCACGGTGCTTTAGTTCTTCTCATGCAGCTGCTCTGCCTAAGTTAAATTCTGTGTGAAGTCGGCAGTCGCTGCCTTACTTTCTAAAGGCGAGCAATTAGATCGACGTTTTAGAGAAAAAACCTTGCGTGTGCGATCAGCTGTGTCTAGTGCCTGTAGTTCAGTTGGAGAAATGTGCTGTGACACTGCACTGATGGCCAAAGAGAAAATCTCTTGCTTCCCTCTGCACTCAGAGTCGTTGCCAGTGTGTTGCAGTGCGTCGCTAAAGGCCATTTCAGCCCTTGCCAAGCACAGCTATGTAGCATACTTCAGCCCTGTGGACATGTTTGAACACCAGATATGGCGAAAGAGGGAGAGAGAGATTCTGTAATCCAGTGCTTTCGTGGCAGGATTAAAATCCCGCGTCCTGAGTTGGGGGAGGGGTTGACTGGTATTGCTGAGGATGGGGTGGAGGGAGAGGCGGGGTGGATTAAAGCCTACAGATTTGCTTCTTGCACAGCTGTGACGCTCTGGGAGGAGCCTGATGGGGGGCAGTGGGAGGAGCTTGTTCTAGATTATTCTCATTTTTGCTTCCATGACTTTGGTCTTGATACAGAAATGGAGATTTGAATCTCAGGTTAAATCACAGCATATCCTTCGCGTCTTATAGAGCGCCATGGTTGCACTAATTCAGGGGGTCTCAAGCTGACTGTTGTTTCTTGCATAGCTGTAAAAATTGAAATGTCTGTCATTAGTTAGCCAGTCCAGCACCTGCTCACTTAGTGCTCCTTTACATGGTGACCAAAGCATATCGTCACATGTGTTATACAAGTGCAATTGACCTGCTTGTAGCTGCTTTCTGCAATCCAGTTAAGTACTCTTGATGACAGCAGTGCAGAGTTGGCTAGCTGCCATACTTTACAGTAGTGTCACTGCTGACATGATATTATAAGTTGTGTGGTTCTTGTGTGGTTGATGCTAATCTTTTACGTAACATCATGCTAGAGCTAAACGCATCAGAGCATTCAGCCAATGTTTGCTCCCTGTCATCATAACATCTAAGTCACATTTGTACGCACAATGTATTTATTGTGATTATACTTTTTATGTTATTATTCATAGAGTAATGGCCCATAGGCTGGCCTCCTACAAAAATGGTCTAATTGGACTGTGCTGACATGGTCAGGCAGCTGTTTGTCTCTTTGTTTGTCTCTAAACCAAGTCGTAATCAGATGACAGACTAGGGGAGAACTTCCAAAATATGGAGTCAATAATGTGTTTGGTATCACATCTGCTGATGCTAGCACTGCTTAACCAGCAAGATTCCTTGTGATATTAAATGGAATGCTAATTTTGCCTGATAAAAAAATAGGCTTTATCAAGTACTTACTGAAGAAAAGGAAGAGCCAATACTTTAAAGCAGGGGTAAGCAATGGATTTTTCCAAGGGGCCACATGAGGAACTGGCACTGTTGTTGGGGGCCGCACCACTAAGGTGAACTGAATTCTGGTCAGTTCCTAATTTTATCCCTATATAAGCTTATCAACTGCCCTTTAGTATTCACTTTAAAGCATGTAATTTAAACATGTGAGCTGTACTGAACTTTATGATTATGAGCTTTTATTTAGCTCTTAGCAACTTTATGCTGCATAGCCTCAAAGAGTTCTTAGTAAGTATAGCAACATAACTTGCCTTTTATTTCCAAGAGAGCCTTGCTGTGATGTGTTAAAGTATTCTTTGTGAAATGTTACTTATTATCCTCAATATAAATCAGGACAGACAGGGTCAAATGGTTATTAAGATAATATTTCTGTTAAGAAACAGTCATGCAGCCAGCAGCTTGTGCAGACGTACTTAGGCAAAAGGCAGAAACAAGAAAAACTGCAGTCCAAAAAAATGTGCATAATCCTGTTAGCACCTCGAGTCTACTTATTTAATGAGATGTAAGGTGGTGAGAGGCACATTCATTTTAGGGGGGGAAGCAAAAAATTAAAGAGAAAAAGCTCCCGTTGGGCTGACGAAGAATCAAAGAGTTGGACGACCACTGAGGGAATTCGTGCGAGCACAGTGTGCACAAACAGAGTTTCTGGCTTTGAGCAGAATAAGTGTGAATGGGAGCAAGAAGGAGGACAAGAATGGGAATGTAGGGTCAGGCCCTCTTTAGTAGCACTTATGTAAGATTACTTACATAATGACACATTCAACTAGTGTGTGTGAGTGTGTGTGCCTTTGTCTAGACAAGAGGGTTAACTTGACTTTGGGTGGGGTCAGGGATACACGAGGAGGGGTACTCAAGCAGGCCTGGTAAAGGAGGATCGTGGGATTATATGTGTGTGTGTTTATGTGTGTTATCAAAAGAGGCGGGGGTGGTAGTATGAGAAGGTATTAAAGTCAGAGTACAGGGAGGGAACTAGCAGGCACTGAATGCATGTCCACATCTGTGAGTGCTATCCAGCTTTCTGCCTCTCTCCGTCTCATTTCACGCCTGTCTTTGCAAACTCGTCCAACCATCAGCCTCTTTTCCTTTCTCTTTTTAAAAAAATATCTTCCTTCAGCTTTCCTACTTCTCTTCACTCCCCTATCATTCCTCGTCTCTTAATATCCTCTGATATTAATCCCATTCTACTGTCGCTGTCTTTGTGTCTCTTCTCTCATTATTCGCCCTCAATCCCCTCTGTCTCTCTTGCTCCTATCTCCCCTTTCTGCATTTTTTTTTTGAAGTGTGGAGGGTCAGCAGTGCCAGAAAAGACAAGACAGAAGACATATTGGCAGAGCTACTGGTGGTTTACTCGTGGTTAGCCTTAGCATACTTGTGGCAACAGGGAGGAAGAGCTTGGCGATGGTCACAGCAATGGAGGATTCCTGTCCCAATGGGGCACAGGAAGAGGAGGAGGTGAGACCCCTGGGACAGCATGCCGTGGAGGGGCCCCCGGCTGTACGATCCACCCAGGGAGCAGAAACATCTGGAGGTGAGGATAGTAGGAGGAAGAAGGGAGCTTTCAAATATTAGGATGAATAGTGGGATATTGTTATCTTTCATTTAAGATGGAAGGCTTTAGATGGGTAACTCCAGTGGTTTCTTCAGCTTCATGTGGAAAGTCTTTAGAGCGACAGTTCCCAACATTTATATCCCCACAGTTGTGTCAGATTTGCTTGAGTCCCCTGTGATAGATACCAAGCAATGAATAAATAAAGCCTTGTCCACACAGGACAGCAGTTTGTTAATCTGTGTTTAATGCAGCTAATGATTGGTCGCTACCAGACAGGCTAGGTAACATTAATGTATTTACTATTCTGTCATACGTCAATCAACAGTATCCTGTGCTGTGATTGATTTATCAGTGATTTATCAATATCATCATCATTTATAAATGAAGATTTAAAAAAATAAACAAGTAAAGTAAATAATACAAAAAACTGTGAGCGACGAGGTTGCGCAGTTTGCCCACGAAAAAGCACTCTGTAACTTTCCTGTTGACAGCACATATTTGAAAACCACAACAACCAGTCTATCGGAGCAGATTCAGGCAGAGGGTAAAAAGTAAATAATAACTGCACACAACAAGTGCTTCATATGTCTGAAAGAAGAAAATTTGAATTTTAAAAAAAAAAAAAACAGGTTCTATTTTAAGCCAGTGCTAGTTTAGATGAAGAATATGTTTTTATAACTAAGGGGACTGAATTTCAGTAGATAAGACAATTTTTAGCATTAGAAATTTTTCCATTTCTAATGCTATTTGAACGTTTATCCAAATCTTTTAGCAGTTATCTGTTACAACCAATAATTTCTCACTCTTTATTAATTCATTTTAGAACTACTTTATTTGACTTTTATTCTGTTCTACTTTGATTAATACATGAATTTGAACCTAAATTAGCCAGTTTTACCTGCAGCTATAAGTTTCAGTGAATTTTATAAATCCTTTGTCCGTTCTAGCTAACATTTAGCTAGCTAACATTTAGCTAGCTAACATTTAGCTAGCTAACATTTAGCTAGCTAACATTTAGCTAGCTAACATTTAGCTAGCTAAAACCTGCTAATAATGTTTAACACACATCAGTTTATTCAGTTCTCTTTTCAACAGTTTATCAAGTAAAAGCCAACTGATTCAGTCATTTATATTATGTATTACTTTAAGTTAGCATTTCAGATATCCTTGATTCTTTCCTAAGCAGTTTAAACATGCTCTCAGTCCTCCCAGTTAGCGCCTTGGTGTTACAGCTGACACAGGATAAGCAAGTGTAATTATGTTTAAAGTAGTTTAGGTAAACAGGAGTATTTCAGCCTACCTTTGGGATCCAGTCGAGCGGTTAAGAAGCGCTGCTTTACAGCAGCTTTAGCTGTGAGAGTCCCAGGAACTGCACTGCACTTCTGAAAAAAGAAAAAAACACCCTCAGATATATTTTGTTATGGATGATGTGTCAGTGGAGTTGCTTCTCTGACAGTCATCTCAGAAGCTAAAAAATAATAATAATAATAATGATACCATGTTTAATACAAGTTGCGAGGTTTTTTCTTTCTCCTGGGATTTCATTCCTTTAGAAACAGAGCAGTGATCTCTGCATCAGCATTCAGTGCACATCATGCTCGTAGGTGTGCATACCGATGCAGTGGTTAGATGTTGCAGACAAAAGTGCCACAGAGGGAGAAATTACAAGGAGGTAAAAGAGAGTGATTCATTATATGTGAATAAATCATCTGGAAAAAAACAACTGTTTGGTGCTGTAATCTCTTAGCATTAACAACTCTTTCAGGCCACAGCGTTTGGATCTTTGTGTCATATTTCAAAAGATTATGTAGACTTTAGTTTGAAGGCTTTAGTTCATTTCCCAACTTTTACCGGACAGAAATTTTAACAGGTAATATGCACAGAAGCGTGGACGAGTAAGGGTTCCTGTTGTCGGGGATGTAGTAAGTAGGTAAAGGTCAATGAAGACGACACCGGGATATACAAAAGGTTTCAGCTGTGTGTTATTCTGTGTATGCTTGAGGTTTTCACTCCGGATATGTTCATGTTTTGCAGTAAACGTAGCTTTATTTATTGCATACAAGTCAAAAGTTAGTTGTGCCATGGTAGTGTTAAGTTTCCATATTCGTCTTGTCTGTGTGTGTCTGTGTTTGTGTGTAGACGCCTTTTCCCGAAATGACCGTTGCCCTGTGGAAGATCTGTGTGTGGTTCCCCAAGAAGAAATAAATTATTGTGTCCATATGTCCGTACTGAGTCTTAGATTGTGCTGTTGTGCCTTAAATACACAAAGCTTCATTGATATACAGGTTTGATTGTCTGCAGTGCTGTTTTTAACCTTCTTCCCCCCTATTTGTCCTTCTTAAAGAGGATCATGAATATTTAAGGTCTGTTTTGCACCGAGCCTGTTGTTTATGCAGTCTCCCTGCGCTCCTGTGGTTATCAGACGCTGTAGAGCTCGAGTTGAACCGTGACTGTTTCAGTACAGCAAACCAGAGAAAGCAGAATTTAAACAGTGATTAAACTGAGATCTAAATCACAGAGAGGCATTCATTTGGATAGAAATGAGCAACCAGAAGGAAACGTGTGTTACACAAGAGATGCTACTTTTTTCGGTAATATTTTACAACTCTCCCACATGGTGTGATGCTGCAATTTATCTTGGTTAAAATGCATTCCAAACTTTTAATGCCTGTGCCTCTTTTACATAAGGAAAAGCTTATTAAACATTTTTAAAGTGCACGTCAGCAGAGCTGCGCTGTGGTCAAGTGGTAAAGGGTCATATCGCATTTGTATAAATGTCCTGAGCGGCTCCTCAGTCCAATACGACTTCGATTCCTTTCTTTCTCTATTTTTCATCTTTTTGTTACTGTTTCTTTTAAATAAAAGCTAAATGTCCAATATTTTTGAATAGTTATACATGCCAGATTGCAAAACCTACCAAAAATATAATATATAGACGTCAGCATTTCATAATCTGTATTTTCAAAGCAGCGATTTGGTATGGGGCACTTTATTCTAAAGAAGGGGCTGAAGTCATAGACTATAGCTTGACTTGATGACATGGAACATGTCTCAGGGTTTAAGAGTAATAATGGGTTAGTGAAGCAAAACGCAGAGTGAAATCATAGAGTGAATCAACTGTATACAAGTGCTGACCGGACATAGTTATTACCCACATAGGTGTAAAATGACACACACATACACATACATTTCCAGGGATTTAAATGGCTAAAATGTGCTTAGATTGGCTTTAAGACACTGGCATTAGGGCGTTCAGCTAGCTGATACCTACAGTCCACACCTCTCCCTGTCTCTGTTTATGTTAACAGCATAGAGGCTGACTGCATCTGAATCCAGGAGCCTTTAGTTGAATGTTTAGGGCCTTGAGGGAATCTGGAAAAAAAAGCACTTTGAAGCTTTAAAGTTAAGCTTTTTTAAAGTGAATATACACAACTGTGCACACTCTGTGCAGACCAGGCTTAATATTCTGGGGTGCTTGTCTGTGTATACAAAGTATGTGTATCCAAAACTCTCCCAGAGAACAATACATGGTGTCTGTCGGCCAAATCAGCTCTTGACTGACAGCGCTGACTCAGGGTAAGACTGGCTGCCTTGACTCAAAGACCATTTGCCAGCTGTGTTGTGACATTTGGGTGAAAGCTGGCCCAGACAATACTTACTGTAACATGTTTCAAGCCCAACTCGTGACTTTTAGGCCACATCTGGCACACACTGCACTTACCATATTGGACCATCTTATGCTGTCTAGGCCACACATCATTTTCAGTGCTGTAATTAGTACCAAAAGCATCTCAGATTAGATCCAGATGTTATCCTGGCTGTGGAGTTTAAACTGAGTGAAAGCATGCCCGTTCACTGCATCTGAAACATTTGGGTCTTCTTTTGCACTGGAGTGTGAGCAGATCTCTTTTTGCTGTTGCTTTGCCTTCAACAGTGTCATGGATGTTTACACTCTGAATGACTTTCAGGCCTGGCTAACTTGGCTTTTCTCTTTTTCTCTCTGTCTCTGTTTCTCTGGATCTTTGTGTCTCGTCCCATCCGTCCAGCCATGCAGCAGGTGTTGGATAATGTGGGTGAACTGCCCACCTCTGCCGGAGCCAAAGACATCGACCTGCTCTTCCTGCGCGGCATCATGGAAAGTCCCATTGTACGCTCCTTGGCTAAGGTAGCACACACACATAGCTCAGGGCAAGCAGCAGGGAGCAGACAAACCACTAGCCAGCTTCAAACTCCCCCACATGTTGCTCCCAGCAATGCTTTGCTTGCTCTGGCTGAGGCGTTGAAGTACAGTAAGGCTTTGATTAACACACAGTGCTATGTGCATCAGACCTAATGCATAATGACGTAAGAAAATTGTGCAGCTTTGCATTTCTGTGCCTTTTTTATTGACAGTGCATGCACCTACGAACACGCCTTCACTGCTGTTTGAAGTCTAGTGTGCAGTGAGTTCAGTTTAACCACAGCTGTAGCTCCTCCAGACAGGGTCTTGTCATGTTCTGCTTTTTCAAATGCTCCCTGTAGAGCATCATATCATATCTACAATCACGGCTACTGAGCAAGTCTCACTTTCTGTCATTCACTCTTTGCACATCCAAATAAATACCAACAAAACCAGGAAGGTTATGAAAGGCAACCGCCATCTTTCCACTTTTCCTGAGCTTCTTTGTCTCACCCAGGCTCAAGAGCAGCTGGAGGAAGTGAAGCTGGAAGCGGTGCAGGACAATAACGTCGAGCTGGTGACAGAGATCCTGGGCGACATCAACAGCCTCAAGGTTAAAGACGACAGCGCGGCTGAGTTGTCTCGAATCCTCCAGGAGCCGCACTTCCAGGTGAGCCAGAGCAAGAGCGAGCACAGTTAGGTAGGCTAGAACAGACGCCGTTAACACAAGCACTGGTTATTAACTTAGCTTATGAGGTAATATGTGGCAACCCAAAACACTATGATAAACCAGATGCTGTTTTACAGCACTGTACTTATAATGTTATGTCATAATCAATACATAAATTCTGGTGTTGCTGCTCTCTGTTGGCAGCAATAAAACTTTCACTGTCTCTTAAAAGCAAAGCGAATATTGACTCTGAATCTGGGAACAGTGTCTCCCTGTGGGCCTCATGAGGAATAAGACTTGTGTTTTATCTAAAGCGCTCTTGTTTAAATAGGTCTTAAAAATTGTATCCTATCATATTGGTTTTGGCTTTGCTGACTCTTCTGCTTCATTGCTAAATGTCCTCTTATGGCCTCTCTCTATTCTATATTTCTTCATTTAGCTGTTATGTATTGACCCTCCATACGTTTGTTGAGTGGCACATTGTATGTTTTCATCTTCTTTTCTATTTCTACATCAACATTCATTTCTTGATGCTCCCTGAGAAAAAGTGGTTAGCTTGAAAAGAATACAGCTTTTTAAATGCAATCATTTCAAATAATTATTGAATGTATATATTTCCAAGTGATGCACACTTTTTTCCACCTTATTCTACTTTTTATTATTAGCAGTAGTTGTTGTAATGTTACTGCACGTTTGTGAAATGGGGACTGCTTTTCATCTGAACAGTATGTCGTACTCTAAATGTTACAACACTAGCTACAGTGGCACAGATCAGATGTTTTGGAGCCTGCGCTCATGCATCAGTAGAACACTAACCTCTGTGCCTGAACTTAGCAGGGGCTTTATGTAGGCAGGGCCAATAGGAGGTAGATTTCTGAGCCGAGCGAAGCCCCTGCACCAATCAGAGCTCTTTGTGCCTTTAGCTGAAAGATAAGACTCTGTTGACCTACTGAGCAATAGAGATACGGAGGGCGGAGGGGGGAAAGCAGGCTAGGTGGGAAAAGGAAAACAGATATTACATCACAAACTGAGTGTTTGATTTTACAGACTTTTCGTATTCTTCACCAGCGAGCGGTTGGTGGTGATTTGGAACCAGTAATAATATCTGGGGAAAAAGCAACTTGAATGAAAGCTGTTGGAGGGATATTCACGAATCAGACATTAAGTGATTAGATTTGGGTGGTTATCCATATTTGGGATTTTATCCATTAGATGATTGCTTTTTAAGCCACACGTAAATTATTAATATGCTGGTTGGCTGTTTGGAGGTATAACTGTCCCGTTTCACTGTTATAACGTCTGCCAACAGAGCTTTTCTATTCACTTGAAACATCAAGTCACAGTTTTGTTAATATTAATGTGAGGAAGACTAAATTTCCAATGTGGTCACAAGTGACATTTACAATAAAACTACTGAGGGAATAGAACTCAGTAATGTATCGACTTTACTTTTGTGAAAGTGTAATTGTGCTTCTTCCTCTACAATAAGATGTAGTTAAGCCTTAGCACTCGCCTACCCTCTCATTTTTTTTCCTTTCTCTCAGTCTCTTTTAGAGGCTCATGACATGGTAGCCTCAAAGTGCTACGAAGCCCCGCCTCCGACTGAGACAGCCAATGACGCAGCGGTGAACAGCGCTCTTATGCAGGCCGATGCCGTGCGCATGATTGGCATTCGAAAGAAGGCCGGGGAGCCACTGGTGAGAGGAGACTGCACGCTGACTGAATGTGTTTGCATGAGTGTGCCACATTATTTGTTTGATAATTCCATTTAAAATGCTCCAAAAGCTGCCAACACTACAAACATGGTCGATAGGTTACTAAAATTAACAGGGGTGAGGCTTAGCACAAACCCCAAGAATCAGACGACCCCTCCCTCGAGCCAGCACCTGGTGACAGTGGGAAGAAAAAACTCCCTTTTAAGATGAAGAAACCTCTGGCAGAGGCTCCAGGTGCAGTGAGGGGGTGAGTGTGAGTGCGCAGGAATCAGAGGTAATAAAACATCCCTCTCCCTCTTCTTCCTCTTAGGGTGTGACATTTCGTGTGGAGAAAGACGACTTGGTGATCGCGAGAATCCTTCACGGAGGCATGATTGACAGACAGGGTCTGCTCCACGTGGGCGACATCATTAAGGAAGTAAACGGGAAAGACGTTGGCAATAATCCCACTGAGCTCCAGGAGATGCTCAAAGACTGCAGCGGAGGGATCACCTTGAAAATACTCCCGAGCTACAGAGACGCTCCTGCTCCTCCACAGGTGAGCACGTACAAGCACAGGCACGCACTCTCCTGCTTATGTAACCGGTGGCAGATGTTGGGTGGTGGCACCATCCTGACGATATGTCCTACGGCCTTCCCACAATCCCTCGCGCAGGAATTTGAACTCTGGGAGTCCTATTAATAACACTCCAGATGCTATCTAGGTCACACTAGCAGTTTCTGTGTCATGCACGCACTCCAAATACACGCACATGTGTTTGGAGTAATTTCATGCTCTCTGACATGCAGAGTACAGTAGTGTGTGACGCTGTTGTACAGTTCCCCTCAGACACGCTCCAGTTATGTCTTCTGTGTAAAAAAACACACACACACACACACACACACA